TTGGTGCCCTGTTGATCCCAGTTTGGGGGCCAGCTGAAGGAAGAGGTTGCAGGGAGTGAGTGTAGTGGCACTTAATTTTGAACCCACTGTCTGGGGCTGGAGTGGGCTTCAGATGGTGTGGCTGGGAATGTGCCTTATAGATTGGCCAGAACTCCTGCCCTATGGAGGTAGGGGACATAAATTAAAGGCACTCACCAGCACCTGCAATCCCAGAGGAGTTCTTACAGATCCCAGAGAACTCCCATCATTCCCTGAGCTTCTCTATATGGTCTCTATCTCATTTGTTGTGCAGAAGCTTTCCAGTCAGCCCTCAGTTGTCTTTCAGGTATTCATGGGAGAGGGCGAGTTCAACGTCTTCCTATGCTGCCACCATCTTGGACCTCTTCCAGGAGAGGTTTTAAGTGAGGTTAGAGGAAATTCAAATGAAGAGGTTTAAGATGATTGAGGGCTGCAAAGAGCCTGATGGGTTTGACAAATAGGATATTATCAACTTTTCTTAAGAATATTCCTAGTTGTAAGAGTAAGTCAAATTTGGTGAGGTAACAGCAGGCACAGACTGAGTCTTTTCCATAAAAGATATGGAACTCCATCTCTTTTGAAAAGGAAATAACTGAAGGAAAATTTCCCAAATCAACTGAACTGATTCTGATTTTACTACTAAGCTGTCCTATATTTCATGTGCTAGATACTAAGCTAGATGTTATCAATTTTCAGAAAGTTGCAAGATTAATGTTTTCATTTTTTAGGTGAGCAATTTGTAAGCCAACATGACAACATCTCCTAAGTAATTTAATCAGTTTAAGGGTGTTTTATTAAGTGAGGATAATGCTACCTGCCTGATCACTGTTCTGAAATTAAATAATTATAAATATATGTGTATATGTACATACACAAGCATATAAACATAAGATTAGCACTTAGTAGGAACTTAATATTTATTTCTGGTACTACTTCTATGAGAAAAATGTTATGGTCATGGTGGCATAACTGAATTTAAAGGAAGGCTTCATTTTATGTGTACAGTTTTATTTTTAGCAATCATCTTTGACATGAAGGCTTTTTATCTTCTTTTGTAGGTTTTGGATGTAAGTAGAGAAGGCAAAGAAGAAGTATTCTATGGGCCTACACTCCCTTTTGCTTCCAATGGAATAGCAGCATGCTTCCTTCCAGCTCCGTATTTCACATGTCCTAATCTTCAGACTCTTCAAGTGCCTCATCACAGAATTGGCACCATCTAAAAAGCCAATGCTGTTAATAACCAGCATGAACAGGAGGGAACAAAAAGGCCTAACTTTTGGATACTGGGCGTGAAAAGACTCAGTGCTCAATGCTTCTTTGTTTTATAGGTATTATATTCAGATAAACATTAGCAAAAAAAAAAATTAACAAAAAACCCCACAATTTTCTAAAATCCATTACTGAAAAATCCTGTCACCCTTTTTCAGCGTGTGTTAACATATGATACCACATGTATGACTTTTATTGTGGAGTAGCTTAGTGCCAACTTAATGGTCTATTGTTCTATGTGTCTTCAGAGTATTCTTCGTCCACTTTTTCTAATCAATATTGTCCAGAAGACAACACCATTAGTAAGTCAATTTATTTCACAGGTACTGTCATCAATGAACTTAAAATTTTTTTTCAAGTACTTAATCCCTTTCCTGCTTAAACCTGGCTTTGTAATTTTTCTTTAAAAATTTAACATTATGCAGCCTCGCTCAGTAGACTCAGCATTATGACATCATAAATTTTTAAATGCCATATTTTATTCAAGGTAATACAAATAACAGAAGAACACAAGAACAGCAGTTGGAATACCCAGATTTTTCCCCTTGGTTATTACTCTGTGACCTTGGACAGGGGCTTAACTTTACAGGGCTTCATTTTTCTCCCTTTTTGAGGACGGTTATTGATTTCCATATTAATTCAGAAGAATGTTGTGAAAATTAGGCAAATGCTCTGAAGTACTTTGCCCAAGAAAAACGGGTTACTCACATTCCAAGGTATTTTACTGTCTTTAGAACTTTGTAACTGAACAGGGAGATTATTTTCAAAGTTTAAAAATTACTAGGTAGAACTTTTAGCACATGCTATGTGAAACATGATTCTGACAAGCATGTGAAAGAGATATGCTAATTAGGCAAAAGGGAGTTTACCAAAGCCTAAGATTCCTAAATTTGTACAAGTCCTTGCCTCAAATAATAACTCTCCCTCAAACACCTCATTTAAACTCATTTAGTGAAAAATGACATTTTATAGCTCAAAAAATTAGTTGTACTAATTTTGGTACCATAAAGTGCTTTGACATAAATTTGAACCTAGAATCAGTAGTTCTAATAAAGAGTTTTTCCACTTTGTTAAAGGTTATGTCAATCTTGAGTGCTTGTGGGATTCTTCTCTAGCACCAATACATATTTTATTACTACCACTTTTAATAATGCATAAGGATTTTTTTTTTAGGCTAGGTTTTTGGATTTGCTTTGTCTGTAACAAAAAACTCAATAATCACATGTGAACATAAATTCAACAACTATAATGTGAGTTTTCCCCTTTTCCTAATCTTGCTAAGATCTAAGTCACCTTTATTAACAGGAAGACTTTACTCTTTTTCCCTTGGCATAGATTAATCATTTAGCAATCCTTGTCTTATGGGACATTCTCATTTTATTCATGTAACCACTTTTAGTAATTAGAAGTGAATAAAAAGATTTTTATCCTAAATACAGTATTCATTAATTTTATATATTATAACTATATTTGAAAATTAATATATATGTAACTTCTGGCTCTTGTGACTAAAGAGTGGGAGTGGAACCTAGGGGTAAGGAAGAAAGGTAAACTTTTAAAAGAACAGAGATACCTTAAGAGTATTTGTACAGTTTTGAAAAGTAGAAAGTGATTGATAACTGATATTTAAAAGGATGGCAGAGAATCTCTTTAAAGGGTATAAGCCATCTAAACTAAATTTTAAAAATGCCTTACCAAGTCAGGAAAACGAACTCCGGCATTTCAGAAATCTTTTCAACAAAGGACCTAAGCAAGGAATATTTCAGATTCATTAAACTTTCTACTTGACATACAAATTTTCCCTCCAGCAGTTTTACCTTATAAAACCATTAAAATCTACTTGTAATTGCAGACCCTATCTCCAATGAATGAAAGGGAAATGGTCTAAAAATAAGCTTGCTTCATGATAACTAAAAGGCAGCTTGAGATTACTCTTGATTATTTCTGCATAGATTTCTAACTGTTCATTTTAAACAAATCAGTATATAGTATCAAACCCCTCCTTGGTGAACTTTAACATAGTATTCACTAATATTACAGAATTGAACTCAGAATTTTTTAAAGCTTTACATAATTTCCAGAAACATCTTTCAAAGTTATAGCCAAAGAACAGCATCCAAAGTACAACATCCCTCCCCCAAAAAGAAAAAACTCATATCACTTATAATTAGATCATTTTCTTCTTCAAATGATCAATAATGAATAAGAAAAAAACATGTTTGGTCATATAAACCAAATTCCATTGGAAGTATTTAAATATGTTTTCCATTTAAGTGTACCACCCTACAGTAATTCATCTATTTTCACTCTTCAAAATTAAAGACCATATTGTATTTGTATTTAATTTGAATTTCCATAGAAGACCATGAAACTTCCAACCACTTACATATCACTTCAAGATTTTACTTTAAAAATAAAAAGCAGTACCACACAGATATTAGCGGTGTTCTTAGTATGGGATCTCTATAAAGTATTATGTATGTAAAATATAATAAAATTCCCTAGATCCTTAATAACAAAATGCCAGGTTATGATTAGGGTATTTTTCATGTTTTTCATATTTTCCTCACAGTTGAACCACATGTACATTGAATCCCCTTCAGACGTCACAATATATGGAAAACTAGTGTTTTACTAGAGTATCAAAGGAACAGAAATAAGACAGAATTATTCCTTCCGCTAAGATGGTTCATTTTTATTTTGGTTTTCAAATAATCTGTCATAAAGAGGGAAGATGAATAATTATGGGCACACTGAAAGTTAAATATATATATTTTTATTATATATCCTTATATGCACAAAATAATTTATAAATGTATATCAAATATGAATGCCCAGAATTTTTCTAAAAGTACAATTCACAAATGCAATAAATCAGATAACTATTAGCACACCAAAAACTTTAATAAGCAGAAATTGATCAATTCCAATCATTTGGTACTGATTTTGGTAACCTTAACTAATATAGTTTATCAATGTATCAAAATACAAATCTCACATCTTATTAAATATGTGAAAGAATATGCTACCTTGCTAGCTTTTCAAGCCAACTGTTTTAACCAAACAAAGCATGTTTGGTTATTTATATTGGGATACTCTATACTTGACTGACAATGCAATATTTTTAACCCTAAGAGGAATAGACAGGTGGTCAGTTTTGGGAAAATGTGAGTTTATGAAAAAAATCTATCAAGCAAAAAGCTGTGGTTTAGTACTGATACTACTGCTTTTAGTGAGGATTCTATGATATCTACCTTTTATCTTTGAAACACAAGTGCTATGTCGACGTAGTACTTAGGGAAGGTAGGTTTCATAGATGCTTTTCCCACCTGCAGAGGCTTGTCAAATTTTTACATAACATATAATCTTAACAGAATGGAATAAAAATGAAAAACTATCAAAGATTCTGTAAAAGTACATGAAAACAGGTCCATGTCATTCTTTAAAAACAAAGTAGCTTTAAAATTTTATGATAAAGCATGAGAGAAGATAACAATGCTGGGTGATGAATACATACATAACATACATGTAGTCTAACAACCCACAAATAATAATTTTTTTTACAGATACCCAGGAAGAAAAAAAAGTCAAATATGCTTAAGAAGAAAATATACTAGGAATAGGTAAAAATATAAGTTTTACACAATGAAACTCTTCTAATGCATATGAACAATGATTTTTGTACGGAGACAATATGCCCTATTTTTTTTTTCTCCCCCATGGAAACCTAATTAAATGTTCAATTAAAATTTAAATCATAACCAAACCCGAATGTCTAATAATGTCATTTCACCATCCTGTTGTCTTTTAATCATCTATTTTACACTCTCATCTGACATTTCACAGAAATTATTTGACTAGAATACTCTCAGAGTATAGAATGAATATGGTATTCAGTCTAAAACAGTCTAGTCTCCTGTTTAAGCTTGGACAGAAAAGGTAGAGTCAGATGGCAGAAAGTTTCCTGATTGAAGGGTTTAACTGTCAGCTTATTAACAATGTAAAGTAATTCAAGGGCCCTAAGCAGAAAAGTAACAAAGAAAATAGTATTTTAGAAACACTGATGTCAGAACTGTGACAAGGGAAGATCGGAGATAAGGAGATAAGATTCTAGTGCCCAATAGAAAAAACAGTTTGAATGCACAGGATGACAAAAAATAGCAAGAGCCTGTACTGCAGATCAACTGAAAGTGAGGAACAATGAAGAATCCAAGATGCTTCTGAAGTTTCAAGACCAAGTAGCTTGGGAAAGTAGTGTATTCTCTGGGTAGAAAATACAGACAGGAACTAGACTGGAATAGAAGGTGATGTGGGCAGCTTGCCATGTTGCACTGAGATTTCAGGAGGATCCAACTAGAGAGGTTTAGAGAGAAATTTTCACTAGAAATAGATCTGAGAGAGAAAATATGAGCTAGTGTTATCAGTTGACTATTAGAAGAACACTGAGACAGAGCAGGTGAAGGGCCAGATCTTGCTGGGGACAAGGAAGAATGTGAAGGTGCTCTCAAAGTACAGTATATGTAGGAATAAGCAGTATCACTGAGGAAGTGATGGGAAGATAAAAGAAAATGCAAATGTCACAGAGAGGCCAAAGACCATGAGAACTGAGAACATACTCTTGGATTTCACTAAAAGAGTGGCTTACATTATAATGGTAGAAGTAGCAGCCCCAGAGATTATGTGGTATTTAGGGGAAAACGGATATTAAGGAAGCAGGTGTAAGGTACTCTAAGTCTGTGAATGGAAAAAGACTACAGCAATAAGGAAGGGCCAGTGAAGATTTTCAAGAAAAGGAAGTGAACCATAAAATTTTTTTCAATTAAAAAAACTGCTTCTTTAAAAATTTATTTATTAATAAACATACATATATACATATATAAACGTATTGTTACAAATTTTTTGTTGTAACTGATTTTTTAAGTACAAACTTTATTCTTTGTATGATTCAGCAGCAGCTTTTCTTATCCCTTAAAGTATGATAGAGTAAGGAGCAAGATTCTCAAAGCTATATTTACCTCTCTTGGAAAATAAAAAAAATATATACTATATATAATAACCTCTTTAAAGGCATCACCTTAAAAAGATTAAATAGTAATAAGTCACTATCATAACGAAAAGAAACTCATTGCTATGAAATCGAGTAACCTTAAGAGGCTTTCATTTGTCATAATGATGGTTGATTTGGGGGAAAATAGACCATTTGTATGTCATGAACACAACAGAAACTCCTTTAGACTTCACAGATGACAATTAGAAAAAGGCTATTAACTATATTTTGCTAATTGCAATCCATTTCCTTTTTAAAGATACTTCTTGAGACAGAAAAGGGTTGAAATGTTTTCTTGAAGGAATGGAACCATGATACAGATGAGTCCTAAGGATAAAGCAATAAATTATTTGAAAGATAGCAAACAGACCATGCAAGAAAAAAAATGAAAAATAGTGGGATCATTCATCTACGACATATTAGAGAAAGAAGAACAAAATTGAGAGGTATCCTTTACCATGTGCATGATAATACAGTGAACATGTCTGTATGTCTCCAAACAGAACATAGGTCACCAAATATTTTTATACACATTATCCCACTGGTTCTTACCAGAACATTGTATAGTAGAAAACAGATTATTTTTTTACTGAGGCCCAGAAAGATTAAGTAACTCGCTCAAGGTCACAAAGCAGAGCTAGGTTTGAAACCCAGAGCTCTTTTTACCAAAAAATGCTCATCACGAAAAGGAGTTAAAGACAAGTGCTCAACTGGTAAAATATATCTGGATGAGATACTTAAAAAGTTGAGAGACAATAGCTGCTAAAGGAAACTAAACTAGTTCCCTGTAAATATGTAACATGTTAAGTTATAAGAGGTTCAAATTAAAGTGCAAGGAAATAATCAGCTGACTTTTCAGGCCTCTTCTGTTAATTTGCAATCTTTAGATTTTCCAGAATATTATTTATCATCTTCTTAAAAGCTCTTATTTATCCTCCTTATATTTCTTTTAATGATAATTCCAAAAGAAAGGATAAGTAGAGAAAAACATCTGGCAATTGCTGGAACCTAAACACTGTTGGCCTAAGCTTAAAAAAAATTTTTATAAATTATCTACATAATAATTTAGCCAGATTCAGTCTCATTCCTCAGAGTTAAGTGTGCTTGGGAAGAGTTTTATTTATTAATTCGCCTCACGCATAGCATAAAAAAGGATAACAAATAAACAGTCCTATCTCTTGACCAACCCCCTCCAAAAAAAACCAGCATAAGGTAGCCAGAAAGCTTGAAAAAAATATCATATTAAAACATAATTTATAAGAAACAAAAACAAAAACAAATCACAAGGCAGAAAGTCACATTACAGTAAAAAGTCTATGGGTCAACCAACACAAGCCTGTTTAGTGATCATATACAGATAACATTCCCATTTAGAAAGTTTCCTTAGTTAAAACTAAAATCTCTTCAAAATAGAATGCAGTTTTGCCAAGTTCCAAGATCCTGTAACATACTTAACCTTTATTTCCTTATTTATATACTTTATACTTACAGTTATGTAAGGAAAAATCCTAGAAAGTATTTTTAACTGAACATTATACAATTAATTAAAAGGTGTCAGAAGGATGCAAAGTGGCTTTAGATAGTTATAATTTATAGAAAAGATGAATCACAAAACATTAGATGTCATCATTTTCCAGTCTCTGCATCTCATCTTGTCCCGCTTGTCCTAGGTGAGATAAAAGCTTGCTATAGGCTTTCCTGTTAAAGAAAAAAAGGCAATCTATTATCTTTTTTGTAGTATTTTTCATTTATTTTTTAATTGAACCTGCCTGAATGTCTGTACACACCACCATATATACCCAATGTGATTAAAGTACTTTGATTCTTTAGCAAAATTTGGGACTTATGAATTCTGAGTGCTGGCCCCTCTAAAACAATCTCTTTAGGAACTACAGGTTTATTGCCACAGTGTTGTATTACTCTAAATAGTTCAAGCACTACTCTCAATTGGACTATAAACCTATAAAATAAAAGCCCTATTATCTATTTTTGACCAAAAAACATATTACCTAATTGGGTCACTCAGCTTCTTAACTGGATACACATGATATAGTTGATTCAGTAAATTAAGCACCCCTCAAAAGGCTGATTTGCCACCATGGATTTTATACAAAAACAAGACACCTGAGGCTCTGAAATCCACTACCCAATGAGGAATACAATGTGCTTTAAGCAACGACAGCACTCCTGAAATACATAGCTTCCTAAGGTGGTCACTTTAGAAAAACAAACAAACAAACAAAAAAAAACCAATATGTGAATGGATGTATCATAGTACTAAGACATTTTTCAACTCAATACACCCAAAATTTGAGGGAATAAGAAAACAAGCCATTTGTAGAAAATGAATCTGGATTTTATAATCATTGCCCAAAAGAATGTAATCAAATTATCAAACATACCTTTGTTTGCTATTTCTGCCAAGGCCCCATTTCCGCTCTGAATCCTTCAGAGATTGAGTGAGGGTAGAAATCAAGTGAATAACAACCTGCTGGTCCAATACTGCTACTGTTTCTAAAAAGCTGTAAATTTGATATTCGTATTTCATACCATAATCCTGGATAAAATTCCTGAAAGTAAATCAAGTTATTTAGAATTACTTTTGGGGCAATTCATTGGGCTGGCAACTATATAGCAACCAGCTATAACCGGAACACAAAAAAGATCATTTATGTAAGATTACCTTAAGAATCTAGGGGTCATATGAAGACTATTTATAACACTTAAAAATGAAGAACAGAAATGGCTTATTTCAGTGTGAGCCAAGAAAAGAGTGATAAGAGTTGGAATCTCAAGAGGGAGCATAAGGGGGAAAAAAAATCGAAGCCCAGGGGCTTTTTGTTGTTATAGTCTACATGTTGAAATCTGGGTGGTAACGACATGGAAGAGACTAAGACAGAAATAAACGAGTCTGGTTTCCTAAATCATTTTCAGTTCTTCATATCTTTAGATAAATTGACAATATCTTTATTGGAAAATATTGGAAAGCAAGTTATTTGCAATATATTTTTATATTCCTTAACTGAAGAAGAGACTTTAGATCTATAAGATGCCGTTATAAATAAGCATTACATATTTTAACCTTAAAATTTTCACTTCCCCAAAATAAAAGCCACTTAGCTTAATAAATTATACATTAATATGCATTCTTTATTCATACAGAATCTTTTCTTCCCTTTTAAGGTTTTATAGTTTTCACAAATCTATCATTTATTTCAAGTGATCATAATTTAAATAAACTGTAAACACTTGACAAGTGCTAATTACACGATGAGAACAAAAATAGAGAAATCAAAGATCCAACATAGATGAAGAAAATGACCCCAAATTATTTATCATGGTAGTGCTAGGGTAGAGATATGTATAATAAAGATAAACTGGTAGAAACTGTGAGAATACTTAAAAATACTGCCCTACAGAAAACACAAGACAAAGGAAGCAAGGCAGAAAAAAAAAGTTCCTCAAGTTTCACTGTTAGTCTTGTGAACAAACAACAGATCTACTCCTCAAAGTCTATGCCTCACAAATGAAACAACAGAGCTTTCTGGGTCAACAGGGTCTAAAGCAAGTCAGAAACCCGTGACATGTGCTTCAACACAGGATCCTGAGTAAATAAACATTTAGCAGCTCTGAAGGCCTGTGCTCCTGTCATCATGACCCACATTTCCTATTTTTTCTCTTAAATATATGCAAGAGTTTCCTTACTAAACACTCAGGTAATTTTTTGAGTCAGCTTGCTTTTCTTTCTCCCCGGTACATTTACTTTTTTAATAACACAACGCAGTGTAACAAAACTACTGCCCAAAATATAATAATTGAAATACTATAAACAAGTAGTAATGCATTATGTTTTGGATAATTAGTTATTCAAAAAACATGCTGGCTGTCAAAAGGCTGGCAAGAGTCTCCTTGCCAGTTGGCATATTTTCCAGTTACCTAAACACCGAAGTCAGCTGAGCGGCAGGTTCTCCTTCTGACCCCTCTTGGCAGGCTTTTACTATGTATTGCAGGTTGTCTGTGGCTAGCCTTTTAACTAGGAGGAAAAATTATAGCGTTATACATTTTGTCTGAATTGACCATCTGGATCCTCACTTTTATAAACACTCTTGATTTAGAAAAATATGTTGTTTTCTTAAAGTATATATATATGCTTTCTTGTTATTTCTCAAAATAAAAGTTATGAATTTTTGTTTTGTTCAAAAGTATATTTCCCGATCTCCCTCTTATATTAAGAAAATATAAAAAGCTCAAGTCTATTTTTTATGTTATAACTGAAAAAATACATGTGAAGATACATCTTTCTCTTAGAAAAGAGCCCATGTTCAAAAACACAATACCATACCAATCCTGCAAGCACTGTTACATACTGGCAAAAGACAGCATTTAATAATTCAGCAGACTTACAGATTATTTTTTAAAATTCATAAGCATATTCCTTCCAGTACCAAATATATACGTAGCAAATTAGAAGCCAGAACTTGTCTTCATTTAAAATTAATCAAAAATAATATACACACAAATATCTGTATATAAACTATTTTTGATGCTACCTTCCTTTCAAATGACAGCAAAATTACAAAAAGAACATTTGTATTCTTTAAATATTCAACCAAATCCTTTAAAATTGTGCACTTGTACATAAAAATGAAAAAAAGTCAAGAAAGAATTTAAAATATTCAACATGTTCCAAATGCTATTAAATTTTTGTTGTGTTGTTTTTGGCCCATTAAATATAAGTTAGCTGGCGGGGAAAGTGCCTTCTCTAAGAATAAAAATATTTTCAGAAAGTGTAATCCATTATAGCAGGAGAAGACATATGATGCACATGTACTTAAATTAATATTTAGTACATGTTTTTCATGACATGAATATAAGTAGATAAAGAAGATACAGCATACTTGTCTTTATTGAGAAATTAACTTCTCATGTTAGATACAATTCTAGAGAATATATCTGGCTCTTTTTAAAAGACATTTTCTTGAAAAACCCCAAAAGCTCTTTGATGGAAAAAGTACCAGAACCTGAAGAAATAGCCTTCATAGCATATGAGTAGTTAGCACAATTTTTTTAATGTCAGCTTTATTGAGGTATAATTCAATATCATAAAAACCAACCTTTTAAAATATAAGTCATTGGTTTTTAGTATATTCACAGTTATGAAGCTGTCATCACTATCTAATTCATAACAATTTCATCACCTCTCCCAAAACCTCATATCCATTAGCAGTCATTCTCCATTTTCTTCCTTCTCCAGTCCCTGGTAATCACTAATCTACTTTCTGTCCTTATGGATTTGACTCTTGGGAAATTTCATATAAACAGAATCATGGACCATCTAGTCTTCTGTGACTGCCTCCTTTGTCTTAGCATGTTTTAAAGTTCACCTACATTGTAGAATGCATCAACACTTCCTTTTGACAGCCAAATAATATTCCACAGTATGGATAAATCTATTATTTATACATTCGTTAATTGATGGACATTTGAGTTGTTTTCATTTTACTATTACAAATAATGCTGCTCTGAATATTAGTGTACAGAGTTTATTTAAAAAATATTTGCTATTTTTGTTTATTTCTTTAATTGCACTGAGTTTTTTTTTTTAAACTGGGTAATCTTTTCAAAGTTCTTTGGCTTTATTGTCATATAATTCTCATAGTATACAATTCACCCACTTAACATGTACAATTCAATAGTTTTTTTTATATATTCACAGAATTATGCAACCATTGCAAGTCAATTTTAGAATATTTTCTTTACTTTGGAAAGAAACCCCACACCCATTAGATATCATTCTCTACCCTCTGATATCACTCCCTATCCCCCTAAGCAACTAGTAATTTACTTTCTTTCTCTATAAATATAACTATTCTGGACATTTCATATATTGAAATCATATAACATGTGGTCTTTTGACACTGGCTTCTTCCATTTAGAATCATGTTTATTACAAAGTTCATCCGTGTTGTGGCATATACCAGTACTTTGGCTCCTTACTTACAGCTAAATAATATTCTATTGTATGACTAGATTACATTTTAAAACTCCATCAGGTGATGGGCAGTCTACTTTTTGGCTTTTAGGAATAACATTGGCACAGACATTAATGTACAGTTTCTGTGTGGACATCTATTTTCATTATCTTGGGTATATATCTAGAAGTGGCAATGCTAGGTCACATGGTTATTCTGTTTAACCATTTGACAAACTACCAGATTGTTTTCCCAAGTGGCTACACCATTTTACATTCTCAACAGTAGTATATGAGAGTTCTGATTTCTTCACCTTCTCGCCAAACCTTGTCATTATCTGACCTTTTTTATTATACCCAATCTGGTGAGTATGAAGTGGTGGTATCTCATTGTGGTTTTGATTTCCATTTCCCTGATGAATAATAATGTTGAGTACTTTTTCAGGCGTTTATTAGCCATTTGTTTATATTCTTTGGAGAAATGTCTATTTAAATCATTTTCCTATTTTTAATTATTTGTCTTTTATTATTGAGTTATAATAGTTCTTTATATATTGTAGAAACAAGTTCCTTATCATATAAATTACTTGCAAACATTTTCTCCCATTGTCATCTTTTCACTTTGATAAGTGTCCCTTGAAGCACAAAGATTTTCATTTTAATTAAATCCAACTTTCTCTTTTGTGGCTCATACTTTTAGTGTCATATCTAACAATTCACTACCAAATCCAAAGTCATTAAGATTTACTCCAATGCTTTCTTCTGAGAGTTTTATGGTTTTACCTCTGATATTTAGGTCTACTTTAAGTTTTGTATACAGTGTGAAGGTATACATTTACTTTTACATGTGGCTATCCATGTGACCCCAGCACATTTTGTTGAAAAGACTATTTTCCCCTTATTAAATCATTTTGGCACCTTTGTCAAAAACAAAACAAAAACCATAGACACATAGATTTATTTCTAGATGCTCAATTGTATCCCATTGATATGTTCATCTTTATGGTAGTACTACATTGTCATGATTATTGTTGCTTTGTACTAAGTTTTGTAATTGGAAAGTGTGAGTCTTCCAACTTCTTTCTTTTCCAGATTGTTTTGGCTATCTAGGTGTTTTGCAATTCCATATGAATTATAGAATTGGCTTGTCAATTTCTACAAAGAAGTCTGCTGGGATTCTGGTAGGAGTTGCACTGAATTTATAGATCAATTTGAAGAAATAATCTGAACAAACAGAAAACTCTTCCTAGATGCATCAGAGAATTGAGGTAATAGGACAAACTGCTGCCCCCAAATCTGAGCATACAACAATTTGTCAAATTCAGTTTAAATATTTCTACTGGTATCAGCTCCAGCAGCAGGCTTCTAGTCCTGGTAAGCTCTCTTCAGTTTTAATTAATCTGACAGCTTTTTGCCCAAAATAATAATAGCAACAAGTATGTGGTGATTATATCTTATGGATAAGTGAAATGAATGACACAATGTTATGAGAGACAGGAGAAAGGAATTGGAAGTATTTTGTTAAAGGTAACCTGCACTACCATGAAGGAATATAGTGTTATTTGAAAGTGAACTTGGATTAAATATATACTACAAATTCTGGGGCAACCATTAAAAATACAAAATTTAAAAAGAGTATCTTCGATGTGCTAATAGAGGAAAGAAAATGGAATCATAATGTGCTCAATTAAAATGTTAAGAGGGCAGAAAAAGAGTAGAATATTAAAAATATCAAGAGCAATACACAGAAAAGTTACACATAGTAGATATTAATCCAACAATACCAATAATCGCTTTAAATGTGAATGATCTAAATAAAACCAATTAAATGGCAGAGAATGACAATGGATAAAAAAATAAGACCCAACTGTATATTGTCTACAACTGTGTCTACTTTAAATATAGACACAGATAAATAAGAGAGAAGGACAAGTATATAGAATGCTAACACAATTAAAAACAAAATGGTAGTAGCTATATTAATTTCATACAGGTAGCAGACTTCAGAACAGGTAGAATTATCAGGGATAAAGAGGTGCAACACATAATGACAAACTGGGAATAGAAGAGAACTGCTTCAATGTGATGAAGGACATCTATGAAAATCCTACAGCTAACCTCACATAAGATGGTGAAAGATTAGATGCTTTCCCTCTAAGATTAGGAACAGGACAAGGATTTCCACTCTTGCCACTTCTATCGACATTGCACTAGAAGTTCTAGTCAGAGAAAGAAAAGGAAATAAAAGGCATCAAGACTGAACAAGAAGTAGTAAACTACCCTATCTGCAGATGACATGATTTGTATATAGAAAATCCTAAGGACTCCACTAAAAAACTATCTATAAGTTCAGCAAAGTTGCAGGATACAAAATGAAAATACAAAAATCAACTGTATTTCTATATACTTTCAAGGTACAATCTGAAAATGAAATTAAGAAAAAGATTCCATTACAATAGCATCAAAAAGAATGAACTAGAAATAAATTTAACAAAAGAAAAATATAAATTGAAAGAAATTAGAGAATATCTAAGTAAATGGAAAAACATGCCATTTTCATGGATTGGAAGAGTTAATATTGTTAAAGTAGTTATACTCCCCAAATTGACTTACACAACGCAACTCTGACCAGAAATGCAGTAGACTATTGGCAAGCTGATTCTACAATTCATATGGAATTACAAAGGACCCAGAATAGCCAAAATAATCTTGAAAAAGAAGTTGGAAGACTTATACATTCCAATTTCAAAACGTAGTAAAAAGCAACAATAACCATGACAGTGTGGTAGTGGCATAAACACAAATCAATGGAATAGAACTGAGAGTCTCGTAATAAACCTACATATCTTTTTTAAATTTTGTTTTTGACAAAGGTGCCAAGATGATTCAATAAGGGTGGGAGTGATCACTTCCAAGCTCTTTACATGTTGAAGTGGAAACCAAAAGATCCAACTATTACTGAGGTCTAGTTCTCCTTCATGTTTTTGCTTCCTATATTTTGGTGCTCTGTTGTTAGGTGCACATGTTTTATTAAATCTTCCTGATGGACTGACCCTTTTATCATTGCACAACGTCTTTATTTCTAGGAACACTGTTTGGCCTAATACCTATTTTGTCTGCTATTAATATAGCTACTCCTACTTTCTCTTGTCAGAGTTTGCATGATGTATCCTTCTCCATCCTTTTACTTTCAATATTTGAATCTAAAATGTTTCCTGCAGATATAGTTAGATCTTTTTTTAAAAAAAAAAAAAATCTATTCTGATAATCTCTGCCTTTTGATTGGCTTGTTCAATCCTGTCACAATTAATATTACTATTGATATAGTTGGATTTACAACAGTCATTTTACTTTTTGTTTTCTAAATGTCTTGTGTTTTTTGTTCTTCTATTACTTTGAAGTATGCCAATTAAATCCAGTATCTGCTCTCGCTGGCAGCTTCTTTTGCCTGCTTTTTTCCCCTGTGTATGGATCAGACTTCTCTGTTTCTTTGCATGTCTTATAAAGTTTTTTGTTGAAAACTGGCCATTTTTTTTAGTGAAGTCTACTTTTTCCTTCCTCCTGCCCCTTCAGTGTGAAGCCTCTAACACTGCTCCTCAGGTGGTGGTATAACCTTAGGTATTCCCAGCCTCCATTGGAAGACAATGATTTTGATAGTGTTCTCTTAGTTCCTTTCCCTGACCACATCCAACTCTTAAGCTCCATTAATTGCTGGTTGTTACAGTATTATTTTTGATAATGCCTAGGCATAAATTGCTTTATGGACTGAGCTAATCAAGTTCTGGCTGTTTTAAAGGGGATAGTTACTGGGGTCAGTGTTGGAGATTTGTTTTGAGCCAAGGGCTCTATCCAGCTGTCTCTTTCACAAATTCTCTCACCAAACTAGCTGGTCTACACATTCGCTTATATCGCCAATGATTCTATTATTTTCCTACCTATTGCTTTTACCACAAACATCACTGTTTTTTGACAGCACCTTAGGCTAGAACTTTTTCACTCTGTTGCAGATGAAGTCAGTTCTTTTGGAGGAATTAAAAGTTACAGGCAAAATCTCAAAGGTGTGGTTCTGGTGCTGGGGATAGGAATAATGGTACTTACTACTTTCTGGGTGACACACTCACCTGAGGAGCTGAATGCTAGTGGAAGAAGGGGCAGTAGCCTCAAGTCTCCTCAGCTTGCTTCTCGTGGCATGGAACACCCACCTCTAAGCTGTAGCAAAAATGATCGGCACCCCTATATTCTTAGAGTCAAACTCAATGTACTGCAACCATCCCATAAGTGGGGACTGAGAAGAAGGGAGCCCCTACTTCTCAGCCATGCTCGCCTAGAACATAACTTTAGCATCAGGTAGTGTGGGGCAAGGATAAGAAATATTGATATTTTGTCTCTCACAGGATGACAGCCCTCCTACTGGCAGCTGGGAAGAGAGGGAGCCCTATGTTTTTGGATTTACCAGTCTGGAATAGAGTTTGTCTTATTGAGCTGGGAGAAGAGTAGGAAAGAGGGGTCTTGGTTCAAGTACCACAGACTCTTGCTGTTCTTACTAAGTTTGAGTAGATTTTCTTAAATAAATGTTTCTTCATTTGCTGTATATCCTTATATAGCAAATTTCCAGAGAATTTATTTCCAGAGAATTTAAGTGTTTTCTTTTAAGTAATTTTCAATAGTTTTGCTGGAAACAAGTTGGCAGAGTTCCTTATATTGTCATGCCGGAAGCAGAACTCCTCAAGCTCTTGTGTACAGGTTTCAGAATGGACATTGTTTAAAACACTCTTGGGCATATACCTAGGAGCGGACTTGGTAAGTCATTTAGTAACACCTTCTATAATTTCACAAATGTCCTTTTAAACACTGAGACTACAAGGAGAGTCAGAGAGAATTTTCTCCGAGACAAGCCTACAAATCTGTGTTTAATACTGCTCCCTCAAGGTGTGGATGAAAAAGGGGCCACATGCTAAATCTGACAATCTCAAGGGAGACCAGCATGGTCTCAGCAGTTGAAATTAAACACATAGAATGGTCTGAACATAAAAATTCCTAACTAAAGCAGGTCATGGTGGGTAGTCACATCCTAAGCCTGTAGCTTTCCTGACAAAGGTCAATTTTTATCTTAAGTAATCCTGTCTATTATCTTTTTGCGTCTAACATAACATCATACCTTTAGAATGTCAGAGTAATCCCTTTTTTCCAGACCCCTCAGGGTACAACCCACTGCACTAGAGCTGGAGACCACAGAGCCCCCTGTGGTTATCTTGTCCTAGGTATACCATCTCTATGTGCTGTAAATGTTGATTAACTTTCCTGTACCCATCAATGTAAAAAGTATGTATCCCTCCGTTTTACTTTTTATTTAATCCCAAAGACTTCTCCCCTTTGCTTTCTCCTGCCCACTTAATCTCCCACCAACTGATTTTACGTAACAATCTTTATGTCTCCTCCTGCAGTACAGCCCACTAGTTTACACTGAGTCAATCACCGAGGGGGAAACCCTGGTTTGTCTTTCTACCAATGGACTGAGACCTGCCCCCTCCAATTAGAACTGCACATTTGGAAACCTCATTTGCATAAACCTGGAAACTTTATAACGGATGGCCTCCACTTTGTTTTGGTGGGGGACACTTTAGGTTATTATCTAAATCTGTGTCTTCCAGGCTACAGTTCCGTCTGCTCAAATAAATGCTTTTTATTCTTTATTGCAGTCTAAAATTGATTTCGGTTTACACTAGAAATGAGCAGTAAAATTCACCTTCCAAACCCTGGTCTCCTTCATAATAAATACTATTATCATCAAAATAAGAAGCTAGCTAAAATTTTATATTATCTACTCTGTCTCAAGAAATTTTGTTTTGTACAAACTTTCACTGAAGTGAAAAGTATGCATAAGTTTTCAATGAGGCAAAAAATTTCTAAAGAGTATGGGGTCCATCTGGGTATTCTTCAGTGAAAGGACGTTGCTATTAAGTAAGGGTATCCTAAATTAATATACCACAACATTTTTCACAAAACCAAGCTTGGGAACAGAAAGAATATCTTAAATACTAAAATAAATAAGGATTAAAACAAAATATAGATAATTTTTCTGCGATGAAACAGAATATTTCAAAGAGCTGTTTGAGCTTTCAGCTATCACTTTGGGCACTGCCCTCAGATTCTTCAGAATACATATTGTACTCACTTTTCATAGCAGTTAGAAGTACTTAGGTAGAAGCATTTAAGAAGTCCTGCCCTGAACAATCACATTATAATGACACACATACATATACACACACAGCATTCTATTTACATTAAATAACTTCTTCAGGATAGAACTATGACTACTATTCTGCATATTACCAATAAGCTTATTAAAGCATGCTACTCACAGTGGGGATTAAATAAATGGTATTTTAAAGAGATCACGGACAGTAAGGCTGAAGAGACAAAAGGAGCAGGATCAAAGGATTCTTAAGGTTTGCCCAAGAAATCAGCTTTGATATTCTAGCACAAACCTGAACAGAAGAAAGTACGCTGAGCCCTCTTACCCCTCATCACTTAATATTTAACGATTTGCATTTAATACTGGAGTCAGATTGAACAAATAATTCTTTAAGAGTTAACAAGTCTAATCAGAGGAAGTAGCCCTTAAGTAAACTATTTGCTTGGGGGAAGAAAGTAAACTAAATGAAACTAGACTGAAACATGTCAGTTTTTAACCATTTTATCATGCTCAACCTCAGCTATTAACCCGGAGTTTGCTCTTTAGCCATGATATATATAAACATATAAAATAACCAAATATTTTCCTAACTATTTCTTAATTTGTGAAGAGAAAAGCATAACAAACTCAAACTTACCTTGGAGTTCAGTGACCAACACCAAGCATTTTAAGATGCCAGGGAGGAGTAGTTCAACATCAGAAATGTCTACGTTAGTTTCTTTGAAGAGTTGGAGGATGAAGGCCAGAATGGATGCTAAGCGAGGAGGGAACAAGAACCCTTTAAACTCAAAGTAGGATTTCCTGGAAAGAAGCACAACTTAAGTTTTTTCTTCTGTTTAAAGTTTCAATGGAGCAGAATCAAATGATATATACTTTATAAATACTGGAAAATTTACCCTTCCCCCAAATTAATAGAGCACAATTTCTAAAAAGTATGTATATTTTACCATGCTATCTTCTACATACATAAGATTTTACAAGCAATGACTATATATCTGATTTTGAATTTAATCAAAATCCAAATAAAAATCTAATTGCTAATCTGTTTTTTTCCTTTCTAATATAAACGTGATCTCCTCTATCAGCTCCTCAGTGATGCAACATTTTCTCAAATGTAAAATCTGCATAAAGAAATATCTCCTCACATTTGTTTATTTAGGAAGTTGGGAGGGGTCTTATTTTTCCAAATCAATAAGAGGAATTAGCTTAATAAATCTTAAGAATTAGCTTCCTACTCTAGCTTTACCTCTACCCTTCGCTTAGGAAGTAAAACAATCAGATTTAAATTACTCTCAAAGAAGGACAAATTTTAGCATTAGAACTCAACATAGATCACAAAGATAATTTATCCAACTCACTTTTATATCTCTACCTCTTGGGACTTGCCTCAAAATAGGCGTTCAGTGTACATTTGTTAAGTGAATAAATCAAAGTGGGAATTGCTCAGTTTCTAAAAAGTCTAGACAATATGAAAAATTGTCAAATGCATGTAAATCTAAACTAGACATCCAGATATATTTGCAAAGCAATAGTAATTTGCCAAAATGAAGCACAGAAATCATTAAAAATTATAAACGCCTTAAGGGCAGATACTATGTCTTCTTCATTTCTACTCTATACAGTAACATGAACAAATATTACGTATTAGAAGATTCATTCATTCTTTGAGGGCAAGAGTTTTGTCTTTTTTGTTCACTGCTGAATTCCTAATGCATAAAATAAACATTTATTGGGTACTATGGTACACCAGGTACAAGTCTAAGAACACGAATGTAAAGTTAAGTAAAATATGGTCTCTGAAAGTAACAGGCTCAGTGTCCAGTGGAAAAGCTGGACAAGAAAAAGACTATTATAATATAGTGTGATAGGTGCTTTGAAAAATAAGCCCAGAATTCTCAGAAATTCAGAAGAAGAGCTCTAATTAAGATGGAGAAAGGCAGGAGCAGAGAAGCATAAAATGGAGAAAGACATAGGTGGCAAACTCAATTTCTTTCCTAAGTATTAAAAACAAAACAGAACAAAACAAAAAGGAATTGTTATATTTTTGAGTCTTCAACCAGAAATCATGAGAAAAATGTTTTCACTGGTAAATAGGCAAGTCAGCTAAAGCTGCCAGGATCCTAAATAATGGGCTTTTAAACAGTTTATGACCTTAAGGATTTAATTTCACTTCAGCACTTATCATTCAGTTTGTATTAGAATTAGTTATACCATGTCTCAAACACAGTGGTAGAACACTATACAATCTTATTGGGAATTCAGAATCAAGTAAAGCAAAAATTTTACAATTCTTCAACTAAATTGTATAGAGCACATGACTTCAGAATAAGAAGCATTATGGTACAATGAAATATTAAGTGTAGGTCTTATAAAGTCTAGGTAGAATTTTGTCCAGAGGGATGACACTTTAATGGAGAAAATGGTATGAATAAAGCTGTAATGTAGGAAAATGTAAATCATTTTGGAGGAACAATAACTAAGCCAGTCTCATTAGGATTTGTATATGATGACATGGAAAAGTTAAGTGTCATATCATGGACAGCTAAGGAGTATGGAGTTTTTTCCATAGCAAAAAGAGCAAATGAAGGTCTAGGGGTAGGAGACTGTCATAACAGATCAGTATTTCAGGAAAAGTAATCTGGGGACATTATTTAGGCTGTACTTAAAGAAAAGACTAGAGATAGTGAAAATAGAAAAGACACTCTAGCAATAGTCTAGGTATAAGCTGAGGAAGGAGATGAGAAAAGAAGGGAAGAAAATAATCATCTGCCAAAGAACGGCAAAGGAGAGGGAACAAAGATTATAAAGCTTCCAAACCTGGTGAGCAGAACACTCAGAACATGAAGGAGAAAAAAAAAAAAAAAAAAAAAAAAAAAAGAAAAAAAAAAATAAAAAAAAAAAAAAAAAAACAGAAGGAAGAACAGATTTCAGATACAGAATTCTGCAGAAAGGTGATGAATATTATCAGGTCATTAAAAACAGAAAAAAATACTAGATAAGAATAATATATATCATCATAGCATCTTAAAGTTTAAAAACTGATGTTATATGACTAAATACTCTATGAAGACAAAGAAAAGATAATTTCTATTATTGAATCTTCTAATGTTGCAGTTAAAAGGTATGACTTTAGTAGAGAACCTCAAGTTTCATTTATTCGTCTGGCTAATAAAAACACTGAGTTATTAAGGCAGAGAATAGATTAACAAAATAGGACTTTGTATAGCTTCCTTTTTCATATTAGCAGTCATATATTTACTTATGATCTTTTATAAAAATAATTACTAAATCTTATATAGTATGAAATACAATTACTATTTATCTGATAAAAACTAAAATATATAAGACATATATAAGGAAAATAATTGGCTATGTAGAGAGAAAATAAGCAATTTAAAGAGCATTGTCTTAGGCTGCCATGAGCAAAAGTCATTTTAGAAATCTTAGACAATACTTCTCAGGAAAAAAAGTTTCCAAGTGACCAGTATCCTAATGGATGCCAATACTTCTGAGATTTTTGTTACTTTTTAATAGATTAATAAATTGTAAATACCACTTATTTTTAATATTTACAGGTACCTTATGACATGTACAATGCATTTCTTTAGAGGTGACATCAGTGCAACGGTGTCCGAGTTTCTCAATGCCAACAAAACAGGATGTTGTCCAAGACTTAAAACATGTGGAGAAGCTGGAAGAAATCGCCCAATATATTGCTCAATAACATTCCCTAGCAATTGGTTCAAATAGGCATTTGAATTTTGAGACTGACAACGCACGATACACATGCCCTACAAGAGAAAAAAAATATTAAAAGGTAAAGTTAAAAAACATTTAGGATTTACTAATTTAGTCCCCCGCATTAATACTGAAGTCAGAATTTGTAACTTACACAGTCAACAAGGATACTGCCCACTAGTAATCGATAATGTAGATAATGTTTATACGAAGTTCAGGGAGTTGTTGAGCTTGGTAGCTCCTGTGCTCTGGCATCTAACCAAACATACTTGTCTTTGGAGCACACCCAAAAGAAGCAGGGGAAAAGTGTATGAAGACAAAGGAAGCTTCCTTTTTACTCCCATCTTCAAAAACTTTGACCACCACATTTCAGTGGTCATTAGAGTAAGACTACAGGATTTATGCTAAAAAGCTTCCCTGTTAATAAATGCGATACATTTTTTTAAAAAAATTAACAAAAGGAAAGAAATGTAGATTATGATTTGGAATGAAATTTATTGAGGTTTTCATTTGACAGGCACTATGTGACACAGTTTATATTCATTATTTCATTTAAATTCCTCAAAAACTATTGAGTTAGTGTTACTGTAGCTTCAATTTTATAGCTGAGGAAACTGAGCTTTAGAGAAGTTAAGAGCTTGATCAAAGTCACATAGAACTCAAGATGTCGTATTACATGTCTGTTTATTGAATCCTTTCCATTTACACAGAAGTTAACAAAATATTTTCATACGGATTACAGCATTTGATACTTACAATTAAACTAATATCCTGAGAAACAGAATTTTTTTCTGCCAATGTTACTAAATATTACATATTACTAAATACAAATAATCACCAACACAACAACAAATCATGTTCTAAAAGTTCACTTATAATTTGGTACTTTGATTCACAAAGTGTTTTTCCGGAGAAATAATTAAAGATATCATTCCAACTCAAGTCTGCCAAATGGATGAATAACCAAATTTTTCAATTTACAACTTTGGAAGTTTATAAGAATTCTTATTAAATATACAATTTTGGTTTAAGAGGGTCACATGGAACAAGCACACCAGAGTCTCCTGCCGCCCACGACTCCCCTCTACCTGTCTTTGTTTATCTTTCAGCTAGTGGACACACTAAACTATGTTTTAAATGCTATTATAAATACAAAATCAAAGAGCCAACTTTAAAAGTCTTAGAAATCGTAAAAATCTGTTTAAAACACTCCGTCTGTTGAAAAGACTGCTTATTACCTAGTCGAAATCCATTCTCTACTTCCTCCTCAGCTTCCCTTGCTGAAGCCCAAATTAAGCAGCAATTATTTTCAGTATCAGACACTAATGAATAACAAAGTACACTCCCAGCCCCGCCCTTTCTTCTGAAGGACAGATCAGTATATCCAAGTGCCTATTGGACATCATTACCTAAATATTCTCCAGCACCTCAAATTACAGCCACTGTGAAATTCTTACCTTCATCTCTTTATCTCTAGAATTTCTCACTTCCGTTAGTAGCACTACCATTTACATAAGCAGCCACTCTGGAATCTAAAAAGTGTTCTATTTTTTCTATTGCTCCACACACTCATTCAGCAAGTCTTTTTGACTGGAGCTCTTAAATATTTCTGAAAACTACCGTGTGAGCTCTATACCCACTGCCTTCATTCAAAACCTTCAGATAATGAACAATTCACTGCCTTCCAAGTCTTCAATCTTATCTCCACATGGACCAACTATCTTAGATATTGCCAACGGAATCACCTTTCTAATATGTAAATGTGTTACTCCCACTTCTCTGCTCAAAATCCATCAATAGCTCCCATGTAAAAGAACAAGTCCAAACTCCTTATCATGGCATATAACGCCCTCCAGCATGTAGCTCCTCCATTATAAGTCTCCACCCAAGAGAATCCAAACTCCTTATCATGGCATATAACGCCCTCCAGCATGTAGCTCCTCCATTATAAGTCTCCACCCATAAGAGAATTATTTGCTTTTCCTCAGTGTCATATTTTCTTACAAAAATCAGGCTCTTTAAATGCTGCTCCCTCCGACAGAAATAGAACTTCAACTCATACCCACTCTGCTTAGACAAATAATATCTTTTACCGTGTCTTCTCTCACATCTCCTCAATCCAGTTTGGCTGACAAACAGCTGAGCCCCTAAGAAAAATATTGAGCATGCTACTAGTGTGTCTATGCTAGTCAGCCTCCTCTCTTGACTTTAAGCTTATTGAGGGTGGAGATTTTGCCTTTTCCATCTTCATTTTCAGAGGCAAATACAAAAGGAATTAAAAAATCGCTCAGCGGAATTGCCACATGTACACATTAACAGAGAGATTACAATGTACGGTTTTTAAACCTGCAGCTAGTACTCTGTTTTAAGGTAAAGTTTCAATATTTTTAAAAAAAACTTTTAAACAACCACTATACCTGGAGATACAAAGGAAGACTCTTCTGAATTGCAGTAAACATAGGTGCAGGCAGCTCCTTCTCTTGCTGGAACACTGAATGTGGTAGCAGTAAGCAATCTATGATCCGGAATAGTAATTTTTGGGCTTTAGAGGTGGCAAAAATCTGTGCCCATGATTTAACAAGAATTCCTAACAAAGAAGAGTAATAATAGCAGTTAACAGTTTTCTTCTAAATGGAAAATTTGTCATTTTACTAAAAAATTTATATTTAAAGCACATAGGAACAAATTAAAAGTAGACAATAAGAAACATTATGAGTCAAAAGACCTATCAAGTCACGTATTTCACTAAACAGACAAATTTCAGAGTTCTGGGCCAATAGAAAAAGTAAAGATTTCTTTACTACGTGAAATATATTATGGTTTCGAGTCTGCATTTGATGTTAGTTAAGCTTAACAAATGAGCACTCTTTGTTTAATAAAGTAATTAAAAGCAGTTATATAATTCCCAGTAGAGTGTATTACTGCTATTGAGGCCTCCCTTTATTGAAAAAAAGAATTTAAAAGGAAATCATTAAGTGCTTGTCCAAAAAGCATAGTGGTGCATGTACCACATAAACTTTTATATTTTATTTCATCTTAGAAAGCTAAAAAGGTGATAAAATTCAGCCATTGTCACAAAACAAAGTTTAAAATTCAAGCTCTGAAGGAACATAAAAATATGCTTATAGAAGAGTATATTGATGTTTAAAAAAAAAAAATCCAACCAATAATCACTTCTAAGAACAACAAACAGCAACATTAATCTTCTGTTGTAAAAGGAAATACAATAATCAATCATAAAGAAACACAATGCTCACTTAGCAATATTTTAAATAATGCTGGCTTGCTCCTCACTTTTCCAGTAGGTGAGAAAACTTCAGAATGACAGCAATGTAAAAAGAACTCACATTCTAATTAACATTAATATACCCACATGAGGAACTGCCATCATCACTGACATTTGAAATGATTCATATCACTCTTAGGTGTCACACAGGTATTAACTTATAAAAAGCAAGGATCTTCCGACCAAAAATGCATCATCGACCCTTGTATTTCACCTTCTGCAATAGTTAAAATGTTTTGCTGAAGACCTTAAGTTTTATAAGTTCATAGAAGGCAGAAGTGATACATTTATTTCACTGCTGTAACAGACCCGTACTTTTTTTAAATTTCAACAATGAACATTTGAGTGTGTGTAGTAGTGAAAATGCAAAGAAAGAAAATTTTTAAGTAAAAAACTTTGGGAAAGGTTTAAATATATAGTGTAGCTTTGTAAGAAAACAAGTCATTTTCCTAGCTATAAAAATATTACTTATTTACTGATGAAGGTAAAAATATATTTAAAAATTGTGGAGAACCTACCCCCACAATTGAAAGAGAGCTGCACTATGAAAGTTCTTATGTAATTACTTATTTTCTACTGCATGCATATATTATGCCTTAAAAAATGAGGACTGGGATCATTACAATACATATTTTTAAAATGCATAGTTAGAAAATAACTTTGCTCATTTAGGAACATTAAAAAATGCATTATGTACTATTAGCTATGTTTATAAAATTATTGGATTCCAGAAATATATTTATTTGGTATATGCCATCCCCTACAATGGAGAAGCTCTTCAACTGATGTATATCCCCAGTTTCTAATCCAGTGTCTGATACATTCTTTCTTTCTCTCTTTCTCTTTCTCTCTGTCTTTCTCTCCTTCCCTCCCTCTCTTTTTCAGTAAATGGTCTTATTTGTTTAAAATACAACATAACAATAGGAATAAAAAGTTCAAAAAATATGGCCACTACCACAAGTAAATTTAAAATTTAGTATGGGCATGGTATGTACACAAATAATTATAATAAATGTCAAGCTACGAAAAATGTCATAAGGATGGATGGAGCACAATCAGGGAGATCAAGTTTACTTGGGAGTGCAGGAAGGTGGAACATTTGGGCTAGATACTAAAGGGACATGGGTAGAATTTCAACTACAAAGACAAAAGAGGAAGAATGACCAATGAGAAAAGGATGATTAAAAGGAAAGGCATGGAAACAAAAAAGTAAAAGACATGAAGAATAAGAAAAACCAAAAAGCTGATACAAAGAGATTACTGATAGATCAATCCTGCTTTCTCAGAAATTACTGATCTACAATTAAAACTCAGATACCTTAATCTGAAGTGTGATTTTATTAACAGTTTGCACTTGCAAATGAACAGTAGAGGTATCCCCAGTTAGGAACTGGCAAGGTAAATAAAGCACAAAATTTCAGTGATTAAACTCTCTTTCAAGTGGATATGATACCCCAATCCTGAGTGCTTAACACAGGTTCGAGCTCTCAAAAGTATATACTTGCTATTTCTCCATTTTGTTCTAAACCTTTTTCCATATAGAAGACAATAAATTATCTGTTCCTACTTTCTAATGAATTAAATGAGCAACACTGTATCAGTATACTCTATTTCCAGTCTCCAAGGTTTAGACAAAAAGAAAGAATACAAATCTACCCACTAAATTAAAAATCAACCATGTAACAAAACAAACAAGGTCCTCCGTTCTTCATAAGGAGATTTCTGCCCTGGGTCTACATATCGCCAACCCAAAAATGATTCTGCGGTCCCTGATAAAGCTATCATATGTTTTGTCAAAAAAAAATGTACCCTGAAATCATACATTTAGCTTGGCAGACTAATAAACTGTAAGCTTAAATGCTGAAATACTTATTAATCTACATTTTACTATGTTAAATTTATAGTAAATTTTCACACACATTTTTCTCTAAAATTAATATGCCTGAATTGCTACTATAGTTTTCATTATGTTCTAAATCATCCATATTTACGCATTTTCACATTCTCCTTTATCTTGCACAACAAAGAAAAAGGTTTCAGACAGGCCAAATCAGATTTATTCACATGTTTACAAGATCAAAGAAAAGAGATATAAGGTTTTGGCCACACAAAAAAAACCCCAAAAAACTTAAATTCTGTATAAAAACTTCTAGGGAAATCCTTCTCATTTTCCTTTATCCAGTTCCTATTTTTGGTTAGCAACATGGTTTTAGTGAACAAAGGTATTCAAATTACTGACTTCCTAAAGAAGGATGAACTCTGTTGTTATGGAACAAGCGTAGAAAAAGATTTCTTTTTGAGAGAAGAAAACAGTGTTGTGAGAAACAAGATATAAAGCATAAATATCTTTAGTGCTGTAATAAATTCTTTACTGACCTCCTTCATAACCATAAAAATAAAAGAAACTGATGGTTTTCTGGTATTTTAAATTCTAACAAAGCATAGATAAGCATTAAAAAAAATGTTCCTTTTAATTATCCAGGTATTCACAATATGAGTGATTCACAACAGGCTACTGACAGCGAATTGGTGTTGGCATATTTTCTGTACTGATCATAACTAATTTTAATATTAACACAAGCATAACAAGAAAAATTCTGAAGGGAGGTGGGGCAAGACAGAGATATACTTGAAAGCCAACATTTAAGCTAAATCACTCTTTCAGATTATTCTTATGATTGTATGGAGAATAGTGATTTAGCCAATGTATTAGTATATTCCTATCCATCATGATACCACAGACTCAAACTCAGAAAGTTTTAATAATGTCGGAAATACATACCCATCATCCTATATGTCAGTTGCAGCCCTGCACTGCAATTTTTTTTTCCTAAATAAGGTTTTATATATTTTAATATTTCACCAAGGTATTCTAAGGACTTTTCGACCATGGCAGATTTATCAGAAAGTTTTTGCAAATTCCCGTAAGTTATACCAACAGCCTATAAATAAGGAAAAACATGATTTAGCTTTTCAAGTTTTATACAATACAGACTTTGAAATATAAAGATTAATTTTTCTCTCTCTACACACAACATACACACATCTACCTTATATTAAAGCCTTCATCTTTAACTTTCCAATTGTTCACAGCAATTAAAATGCAACTAAAAATAATCCTTTCCTTTTATGATTAAAATAAAGGTTAAAATAAGAATTTAAAAAATCAATTTGCCAATAATTATTCATATGAGATCTGACTCAGCAAAGCATTAGTAAAAATATACATGAAAGTGATATAAAAGAAGCTTATAATCAAATCACACTGAGACTTCCAAACATCCTGGTTTACAACTGGGAATTCGAAATCCCCAAATTTCTATAAGAAAGACTTATACACAAGGTTACCAAATCCTTACAAGTAAGACCTCTGTAAAGTTCAGCTTTGTGATGAATTTTTTCCCCTCAGAATTTTCTTTATGAGTCATTAGATGGCAGTTTAGATTTCTCAAAGGACAAAAGGATGAGGCACAAAGAGTAAAGATGGCAAAATGGGAAGGCGATGGAAAGAAATGTAAGATGAGGCTGTAAGAACAGTGAAGTGTGAAGAAGAGGAAAGGAAATAAAGAATAAGTTGAGGAAGGGTGACAATAAGCAAGAGGTGAGAAGTTACAAAAAGAATCAAGAGAACTGGCTAGAGATGGGTTAAGACGGTTTGAGATGAGCAGTAAAGTTTTTAAACCATTACTGGGAACTTACAGTGGGTTTCAGTGACCTAAACTGGACACCATGGCACCAATATATAGTTATGTAATGTTTTTTTACTGCAGCTCTCAGCAGATAAGTCAAGGAGAGAAAGTAAGTGGTTGTACCAAATCAAGGTTGAGAGATTGTAGGTATAACCGAAAGACAAGGATGGAAGACTGTGAGGGTGTTGGTAGGGGCAGCTGACGTGAGGCCCCCATGGGGTATGATTAAGGTGGATAGGGAATGAAGTGAGGCCTTCAGAGGATGTTGCACTTGGAGAAAAGGGAGTGGAAAGTCATGATGATGTCAGTCAAACAGCTGGAGGGGGACAGGTGGTAAATAGTCAAAAGAGCTTTCAGATGCTCCAAGAGATGCTGTGGCTCAAGGATTAGTCATGGAAGTGGGAGGATTAAACAGTAAAAGTAAAGATTATTGAAAGACTACTGGAGGAGTTTTGAAACAGAGGCTTCAGGTAAATTATCCAAGGTGATATTAAAGTTAGCCATGTTGAAAATAAAATGTGGGATGGAGGAAAAGATAAGAAACTTAGTGAACTTGAGTAAGGGACTGTGAGATAAACGGATGAGAACAACAAGAGATATACTTGGTGAATCCTGTTTTTGATTTAGCTCTCTGCCCTTGGTTCTCTACACTCTTTTCCCTAGACCAGTTTTCAAACTTTTCGTCCCAGTTCCCTTTCATACTCTTAAAAATTGAGAAACTTAAAGAGCTTACTATTATGTCTATTGATATTTACCATATGAGAAATTGAGAAAAATTTAAATTTAAATTTATTTAAAAATAATAAACATTACATGTTAATGTAACATATTTTTAGTGAAAAATAACTATTTTCCAAAACAAAAAAAACACTTAATGAGAAGTGGCTTTTAAAAACATTTTTGCAAATCTCTTTAACATCTGGTTTAATAAGAAGACAGCTAGATTCTCATATCTACTTCTGTATACACTCTCTCCTCGCAATATGTTGCAAATGAAACATTTTAGTATCACAAATATATGTAGCTGAAAGAGGAAGAAGTGTTTTAATACATTTTTCCGATAACTGTGGAAATTCCTCTTTGATATTATGCCAAAACTTGACAAGTAGTAGTCCTTAAAGGTTAGGTGTAATATGGAATCCCCAAATCATATCAATGAACATTTTGTACTCTATTAAATTGGTCTACCTTGCTCAGTGAATGACTGCTTTATACCCATGCATGCTTTTTAAAAAGCCTGTATTGGTCATTTGGAAAATTTTGGTTCACTGGGTTATGCAGCTTCCCAATCAATGCTGACACATTTCATTATCCATATTAAAACAATCATATTGGTTAATACCCCACCACTGTCATCTGAAAAGTCTTTAAGTATCAAGAAGCTTTCAAGCTCATGATTACAAATATGTTTTCCAAAATTCTAATTTTTTTAAAAGCTCAAATTATGTCATTAGCAACAACTGCCATCAGTTGTCTTCTTTGAAGTGACAGGCTCATTTCACTCATTTTTGAGAAAACGTCTGCCAAATACCTAAGTCTGAATAACCATACGTTGTCAGTTCTTTCAGGATAAAAGCAGTCAGTTCATCAGCTTGCAACTCAAATGATCACATAAGAGGTTTTTATTTAGATAACCATTCAGCTTTGGTATACAGCAAAAGTGCTTCATGTATACTTCCTATTGTTCTCATGGAATTAAAAGGACCGGAACTCGAGTCAAAAATCTAATAATTTTTACTGGTTCTTTAAGGACATTCTTAAATAAAACTGGCTTTTATTTTTCTCTTATGATTGCATGAAAATTATCATGACTGCCAGTATAATCTTGGGCCATAGCGCTGATTCGTGCTAAAGTTTTTGCACTATTTGTGCAAATATCAATATACTTTTGAGCTTGTAGAACTCCTGAAAAGGTATCAGTAATTCCCCAGAGGTCTATGAAACACATTTTTGAGAACCAGTGCCCTAGATCTCAATATTTCTCCAACGAGCCTTAACCTCCTGAGACTATTTCTCAGTGCCTTGACAATCACTAAATACATGTCATACTATCATTCCATGCAGAAAAGAATTAACATAGCAGGCCCAAGACTGCTCTTCTTAAAGAGACCTACTTGAAAGGTTGGCCTTTGGCTGGTGTTTTGGGACCTTAGTTTTCCCACTATTTCCTGATAAGAATGGCTCACTGAGCCTAAATTGTTTGTGCAAACAATATAGTTTATGCTGAGCACCTGCTTCCCTTCTGGGAGTCTGGAATCTTGTAGGTGGCTAGGCAAAGACAATCTATGTGACCAGTCCCCATTAAAAACCTTGGACACTGAATTGCTAATGAGCTTCCCTGGTAGACATTTCACATGTGTTGTCATAATTCCTTGCTAGAAGAATTAAGCACGCCCAGTGTAACATCTGGGAGAGGCCTGGTTTCTCCAGACTTCACCCATGCACCTTTTTTCTCTTTGCTGACGGTGCTGTGAATCCTTTCACTGTAATAAATCATAGCTATGAGTACATCTATATGCTGAGTTCTGTGAGTCCTCCTAGTGAATCTTAGCACCTGGTATGATCTTTGCGGATGCCTGATAAAACCTCAAACCAAACAAGTTTAAAATTGAACATCTTACCTACTTCTCCCCGTCCCTAAATCATGATATTCCTATTTCTCCTATAACTAGAAGCAAATCATCATGCTTCTAGTTATAGTATTTATTTCATACATGTTAAAAAATTCCACAATTCGATTTTCTATTTCTTCTAAATCTCCTTATTTTCTGGCCAATAGGTCTCCCAAACCTTTAATCTATTCTACTGTTACTAATTTTCCTAAAAGTCATTTAATCAAATCAGACCTACTTAAAAATTTATAAAGGCTTCACACTGTTCACAAGATAAAATCCAAACTCCTTATACTAAGATGCTCTGAATTCTTAACCTACTGATTGATCTATCAATTGGCACTTAGCATGTACGGTCTTATATTATTATTTAAACCTCTTTATATATCTTGTATTCTCAGAAAAGTAAAAGTTCTTTATGATCAAGGACTACTTCTTTTGGTTCTTCAAATCCCTAAGAAATTCTAACATAACACTATCTAGCATTTAGTAAACACCTATTATTTACTATTTGATGAAAGAATAATTAATATGGACTGGATTAAATTAAAAGAGCCTTTGAAAGCGATCAGTGAAATGCATGACTTCTACCTCCCTTTCTGGTTCAGGATGGCTCCTTGCATAGGTGGTTAATTAATTATAGGTTGAGAGCCAATCAACAACTAAATATAAGGCTCAATAGAAATGTGTATTTTTACGTATGCATATCCTATTACTAAATTTTTTAAGATTTATGTGACATCTCTAATTGTGATACAGTTGTACTTTAACTTAATGGAAACCAATGGAAGAATTTACATTTATGAAAAGAGCTTATGGGCTGTAATTATTTTCAATGCAGTTAATACCAACTGCTTCAAAGGAAAATAAACCAACTTTTACTGTGAATAGCTTAGATAACCACAAATGCAAACACATTAACAACCTAAAGTAGGCTGTAAAGCAAAGACTATCATATAACATTGATTCCTACAAAATTAATAATTGAAAATAAAATGTTGAATGAGAATATTTATTATGAAGACAAAACAAATGGATTGAATATTAAAGTGCCAATTACGCTATCATATGAAATAGTTGATGCTTATGCTAAATAGAATAAAATTTTACTATAAAATGTACAGTTTGCTACAGGATGGTAAACATTAAGTTGGAAGTATTACAAACCATATACAAGGAAATTTAGTTCTCAAGTACCTGAAGGATACTGTTATCCAGCGATTTCAGAAATAAGATATTCCTACAATTTAGGTCAGCCTTAGTGTAAGGCTTTTATGTAGCATTCTTTACTCTTATTTCTTATTACATGTAATTTTTCTGCTATCCTTAAGAGTGCATTGTACTATACCTTAGATTCACATTTTTATTCCTCCAAAATTTTATAATATCGGGAACCCCATTTTATGATTCAATTTTAAAAATTCCTTTTATAGAGAAACACTGTGAACATTTCAAATTTTTCTGAAAAATTATCATAATTGATCTGGACAATTATACTAATAAATAAAAAAATACCTCAAGGAATTGAACAAGTGCTTTTTTAGGGTCTTCAGGGATGGGGACATATTCAATTTGTGCCTTTGAGAAAATATTCTTTACTTCTGAAAGTTTAAACAGCAACCTTGTCAGTTCAGCCAACTGTTCCATGTACTCTTTTTCTGTTAAAATAAAATGACATAATATTTATATATTTACTATTTAAGTTTATATGTTATAGATATATGAATGAGAGTGGAAAGTGTAGCATTCTTCATTTATAACATAATTTCTTTTAAAATTCAAATTTCCACATAATTAAAAAACTAAGTTTCTCTCACTAAGGAAAGGTTTTGTTTGAAAATAAAAAAAACAAACGAACATGTACTTGTGAACATTGTAGCCTTAAAAATCATTCATATAAAGCCAACTGATATAATAACATATCAAAGTAAATCTGGAGCATTTTCTCAGACCAGCCTTTGTGCAATTTAAAAATGGCATTAAAGAATAGCTTTAAGATAAGGCATGTCCTACAGACAACCAGAACTGTACAGGATATCAAAAAAAAAAAGTTCAAGTATCACTCAGGAAATAATAGTAAAGCAGAAGGCAAAATATCTAATATAAAATGGGAGAGAATTATTCATAATTAGATACTTTTCTTTTTAGGGTTTTCAGTGTGATATCTGGTGATTTACTTCATTTTTCCATTTTTTTGTGTGTGTGACTGGTTTCTTCAAGGTAAAAAAAAAAAAAAAAAAAAAATGCTTGTCACCCAAGAGCAAGTTTTTGTTTCTGGCTTCCAAGACAATAAGTTCTTTTATCTTTGAAGGAGAGAAATTTGTCATATATAGCAACAGGAAAATGTCAAGAAAAAGAAATAGGCTGCAAAAGGAAATAAATTTCTATTTATATTCATACCTATTACAAATGTTTTTTATTTTTCTCTTAATTTATGTAACAAAACAAAAAATTTTAAACATATTTAGCTATCTAGAAAGCAAGATGCCTGCAATACTTACCAACTGCCTGTTCAGGGTTCATGTCAATTAATAAATCATCAGGTTCGTAGAGATTTTTAAAGTACATTTGCAAAATGCAACGGATCCATGATCTTATAGTTAAGGTTTGAAAAGATACAGAGCCTGAACAAGAAAGTGCTTCACATAACATGCTGTAAAGATAAATTGATGGATATTAAAAACAAAAACAAAACCCAACAATAAGTTCCCTGAATATAAAGACTAAGAAATAAAGGAAAACATTCTAGCATCCCCACTTCTTGGCCTCACTTATTTTACAAACACAACTAATACAGACATGCATTGCTGAATGAAGAAAATGGCAAGTGCTATAAAAAACAGTAGCCGTTAGAGTAAATAAACAGAGTAGCGGTCATGACTATGTATATAAGAAAAAAGTTAAAGACAAAGAGTATTTCTGTGTGGATCTCCTGACTAATCGCATGCCCATCATCCCTTCCTTTCCTGCTCCCTCACCACACAGGCAGTCATCATTAAAGAATTCCAAAATAAAATCTGACAGAAATTTTAAAAATTTTATTCTACAAAGCCCAAGGCCTGGCTAATTTGATTTCTAGTCATTTTATAAGTGGGGGTAGAAAAAATGAGGATGGTCTTATGCTAACTATACAGTGTTATGCAAAGTCAGAAATTTAAAAAATATATATATACGTAATTCTAGAAACACTGTTTTGAATTACTTTGAATATAAATTATCATAAGAAGAATACACAATACAGAAGCACTTCGATTGGTCATTTATTATCCATGAAATCTTCCCAAAGCTATTTAACATCTCTGCACTTCTTCAACTGTTACAAAATAATACACTAATATTATTCTAAGACTAAAATAATTTCAGATAATTTCAGCAAGTGTTTAAAATATATTATATGTTTGTTGTTATTACAGAATTTACAAGCTAGAAAGGATCCTAAAAGTAATCCAATTGAAGTTGAACTCTTTTACTTTACAACTGAAAGCCAACGAGAAAATGTCTTAATGACTGTTTAATGAACTTCCTTATGAGAACACCTCACTAACTTCACTACACTTAGTCTCTTAGGTTTGTATATTTATTTTACTTTCCCTCATCTTAATATTCTTATTCAGATCTTCCTGATTACACAATTTCTACTTTAACTTTATTGTATATTTTTTCTATTCAGGTTCCTCAGATCTCTTATGTAATGTGGCAAGAGGTACCTATAGTTAAGGAAACCAATGTCCAGGGTAGTCAAGTAAGTGTCTTGTTAATGATCACCCAAGTTGAGAGTCAAATCTTTAAAAATCTAACTGTAAAAAGGAAAGCTATCATTAAATAAAATTTCAATAACATACCAATGTCTTATGGATTCAGATATTAACTGCATAATTTCTTTCACAATGGTGAGTGTAGAAAGGTCATTTAAGGAATGACCTTTCAGGGAATATGGTATTCCTACAAAAACGGTTTTGAAAAAGGGCTTAAGCAGCAACATTAAAAAAAAAAAAAGGCAGGCCACAAAACCTGTTAGCTTTCCTACAACTGGAAAGATGCTGAAACTGCCAAAAATGAGACTATAAACTGCCAAGATGAGACTGGGAAAGACCAGTTTCTTTTGTGAAAATTCTTACCTTCCTAGTGTAGTGATCTATCATGGGTTCACATTATTATGCATACCTGAAAGAAAATCACTTACCTATTTTGGAGGAAATGACTTAAATATCTTGCTACAACTTGGGGACAGATAATATCATCCCAACCAAAAAGTTGTATCATTGATAGAACTGGCTGAGGCTGAAGATCTGATGGAGCTGTGCTAGGCATGTCCATTGCAAGCAAAGTAAAATCTAGATTTAAAATGTAAGAAACTTATAGTGAGAAAATTTTTAAAATTTCGCCTCCAAAAGTTATATCATAAAAAAAAATTCAACACTCAATAATAAAATGTCACATTTAGAAACATAGAACCAACGAAGTGCTGAAACTAAATTCACATTGTCAAAAAGAATTTCTGTGATCATACAGATCTCCAAGAAAAGGTTTAGAATAACCTATCCCATCAGCATTATTGTTATTAATCTATAATGGCTACCTCAAATTGCAAATTCTAAACCTGATGTCTCTAATGTGCCTTCCTCATTTAAAAAACTCATATTAAAAATTTACCTGCCACCTGCCACAATTGAAGGGTTCACTCTCGCCTTAGACATTAGACATTCTCTTTTATTAAACAGCGATTTCCTACAATGACTCTATGACACTTCACTTCCTTCAGAACCCACTAAGCCTAGGAACAAGAATTCCTTAGTTAACCATGTTAAACAAATGCAATTTATGACTACAAACTTTAAGTGGGCCCTTAGAGCTTGCCAACATTCCTACCACATTTCTCTAGTCCATTCAGGCTTTTATTCTCCCAGAGGACTACTGCATACCTTCCCTCCTCTCTGTCATCGGCCAGCACCTCTTCCCCATTTTCACATCCAGTTAACGCCTTAGTTACTACTTCACAGAAAAATGAGAAATATCAGAAGAGAACAAGTTCCTGCCACATCTACCCAGCCACCTCTACCTGGGCCCATTTACTCTGCCTTCTCTTCTGTTACTAAGATGATGTGAGGCCAAGTCCTCTACGGAATCCCATTTCTCCTGGGCATTGAAACATAAGCGGCACTCCTGCATCATCAATTTTCCCCTCACTTTAAAATATCCGTCAGCATTATAAACATGCTGAAATTTCTCCCATGTTATTAAAAAAAAAAAGTCTCTTTGACTTCACTTCCCACTCTAGCTAACATTTCCATTTTTCTAATTTTCTTAAACAGTGATAACCAAGAAGATTTATCTATGTTTGCAGCCTGCAATTCCTCTTCTCACATTTTCTCTTGAATCATCTCCAGTCAGACCTTCTACCATTACACTAAAACTGCTCTTCAAGGTCACGAGTGACCTTCCCCTTGCTCAATACAATGATCAATTCTCAGGCCTCATCTTACTTTACCCAATAACAGCATGTGAATTGTTGATCACTTCTTCCTTAAAATGGTCTGTCATTTGATTTCCAGGGCACCACACTTTCTTGGTTTTCTTCTTACCTCACTGACACTCCTTTCTTGGTTTCTCTTTACCCTACAAATCTGAACATGAGATATCCTAGAGCCTAGTCCTCAAATTTCTCTTCTCACCAATACTTACTCTATTGGTGATCTCATCCAGTTCAAAGTTTTCAAATTTAAATCTCCAGCTTGGACAGCTCCCCTGAACGCTATGCTCATTATCCATGTACCTACTTAACATCTCTACTTGGATTTTAATGAATATCTAAAAAAACATGTCCAATTATCAAAATCGCAGTCTTTCCTCATAAAATTTACTCATGCTACAATTCCTCTTCTCAGCAAATGGGATTCTCTATTTTCCTTACTATGCCTTACTCACTTAGAAAATTCTCTCCTTTGGACTGGGAATCTAAACACTTTTCACCACCTCTGCTGCTACCACTTCAGCCTAAGCTGTTCATTTCTGAATTGTTGCAATAGTTCCCTAGCTGGCTTTCCTGCTTCTTCCTCTAGCCTTCCTATAGTCTATTCTCAGTCTAGCAGCCAGAATGCTATTACTCATCTGCTCGAAACTTTTTAACAAAAAGCAACTTTTTAACAAAAAGCAACATTTTAAAAAAAAGGCAGAACACAAACTAGCTCTCCATTACCTACTGATCACCTCTCTCCCTAACTTACACCACACGACCTTTTTAGTTCTTCAAATACAACAGATTTGCTCTTGCCTCTGGACTTCTGTATAGCATTGGTCTCTCACCTCCTTAAGGTTTGCTCAAATGGTACTTACTCAGGTCTTCCTGTATACTCTATTTAAAGTTAAAATCTGCCTCTGGCCTTTCCTATCCTCTTCTACATTTTTATTTTTCTTCACAGCACCTACTACCATATAACGTATTACACATTTGACTTATTTATTTATTGTTTTCCCCCCGCAATAGACTATAAGCTCCATGAGGATATGTAGCTCATATATGAGAAAAAGAACTGCAGTCCTTTCTGCTACTGGTATTTCCTTAATGGCAATAAAAGTAGATATTCTATGCCTATTTTTTTTAATGTAGGAAATTTTTCTCTCCTAACCTATCTTTATTTCAAAACAAACCCGAAACACATACATTCTTTGCTTAATACTTATACAGCACTAACTTTCAGCACCTAGGACAGCACTGACTTAAGTTATGTGTTATCATTTTTAGGCACTGGGAGTTGGGATGGTGAATAGAAGAAAAATAAGTCATATTGGCTACTAATGACTCCTTTGGTTACACTAATTGAATATCAATATTTATTTTCATAGACATTACAGTAGTTAGAAAATGTCCTGTCATAATTCTTCAATCTATTACTATATGGTTTTAATTATGAAAGTGCTACTAGAAATCAAGATCTTTTAAAATTTATATCATTCAATTTCTCATGTGGTGCTTTTAGCTCAGCTTTCCTCATTCACACAAGAGTAATATAAACTTTGGTTTAGATCTTGGATTTTTTAAAAGCATTATAATTAAATACATTAAATACTGGCATATAAATTGCATTTAAGTACATGCAGTCACCATACTGATCTCTGTCTATTCTAGTACCTCTTAACATATTTTGGGCAAAATATATTATGATAGTTATTTGAGAAAGATAATGACCTCTTCTTAGAAAACTGCACATATGCAAATATATTCAAATTCTTGCCTACAATGTCTGTGATTCAGAGTCCTTAAAGCCTAAAAACATGTCATTAGGCTAATAATCAAATTAAGTAAAAATTGCAGCCTAAAATAGAAGCTAGTAAAATTCAGAACAATAACAGTCTATATATTTGATGTCACTCTGGTCTCATCTGTTTGGGGCTGAAAGGGAATTCCTGCTACATTTTTTTGCTCTTTATACAAGTAATTTCATCTTATACCTAGATATCTACACATATAATCTGAAAATAAACTACTTGGACTATAAGAAATCAAACATTACTTTCCAAATATTGCATGCAAAAGTTTATGTGCATTCAATATCTTTTAAGATTGAAAACCATCTTTCATTTTTATCCAATAATCATTTAATTTTTACCTTTATTAAGAGGAAAATAATAAACAAGCCAAAGTATATTAATTTAAAAATATATAATTCTTTTAGTCTTCCTGGTTGTCAAAATATTTATTACAACTGTAATAAAATAAGAGTTTTTTACCAAGCAAACAGAAGAAAAAACTGACGAGAGTCTGCAAAATGAGAAACAAATTACAAAGCTGACCTGCAGCTGCATCCGCAAGCTGTGGGAGAGGCACTATTTGTGACATTCTCTGACTCTTCAAAAATGAAAAGAAATGCCTCCACAGTGCACTGGCAACTGCAGCAAGGTGGCGCTCTTTAGCTGGTAATGAAGACTGCGCAACTAGGTCCACGTTTTCCTTTTGAAGCTCCTGACACAATTGTTGATGCATAGTCCTAAAAAGAGATAAAAATATAGCTAACACCCAACAAATGCTTACAAAAATCTTTTTTAAATACATTTAAGGCTTTTAACATTTATATCGTATGAAAACTGAAAGACCATTTTATATAATTAAAACCTTTATGCTAAGACATTATGCATTTCTGGTTATTTGATGGATGAATGATGGCATATTAAGCACCATAAAGTTAATGTTAATTACTAATGTCAACCATTAATTATATGCTTTTTAATATGTCAGATCCAAATGAGAAACAGGCAGCTCCAGAATGAAGGTCTGCATTTTGCAACTCACTATGACAAGTGATTTTACTTACAATCTAGACATTAAAACAATTTTTTAAACCATTTTCTCCTGAAAGCTTTAGGACATTGATGTATCAAGAGGAAAGTGAGTATATCTGGCTTATGTGTGGTATTTTAAATTAAAATATTTTCCTTGTTTAGAAAAGACAGAGGCCTTGTGCTGGCATATATAAAGTGTGACAGATACAATCTTAGCACGTTGGTCCGAAAAGATCCATAGTCATTTTCACAGAGAACACAACAATAAACAAGAAAAAGTTATTCTCCATAAAATACTAAAATATGAATTCAATACTGCTTCAAACTGATTCATCATTTGCTCACTTTTTTTTTTTTCCAACTGAAAAATTTAGACATCTCTAGATCTTAACAGAAATAATGGAGGGGAAAATACAGCTTTTACAGTGATCTGGATAGAAGGCATTTATGCAATATGCCTAGCAATTAATAATATGAATATTTAAAACTAAATATTCAACCATGATATTATTCCTGTTTCTGTTTAAATTACTGCCACATCAATTGAGAGTACACACAAATACATAGATACCATCCTGAGATTTTTCTTTCTTCAATTAAAGAGAAAGCAGTGAAAAATAATCGATGGAGCTAAGGCAGAAACTTCCTTTGATTAGTAGTATTCTACTAAGAAAAATAATTAGTGCTTTGAAAATAGAAGGAACTATGACATAAATTCCAATATTCCTGATGTTTAAAATCAGTTTATCTAGAAGTGGACGCATTAAATAATTATACGAAATACAGAAATAGTACATATATCTAAAGCAATTCCCAAAAGAGTAAACTGGTTGCAAGACCAAATATTAGTACTTTTTACATAACTATACATAAGTAAACAGTATAAGTATAAATTATATAACATTTGGACTCTGTGACCCTTTACATTGGAATTCTTGTATAATCACGAGGCACTACTTAACACTACTTGAAGCACAGGAAAAAAAGTATACAAATGCCTAGGAAAAGAATATCATCGCATACAATTCTCATAAACGCTAACCAAATATCTGCTATGTTCTCTCTATGTAAAAACCTGCCTGAGATGCTTTTAACTTGAACTAGTGGCAAGAGAACCATTTCAGATCCTTTAGTTTTGAGTAAGATGAATATCAAACCACTAAAATCTATTTGGCAACTAACAACTGTCTACATCAACATAGCAAAGTTCATGAGCACACTTCAGCACTCTGAAGTCCAAGTAAAATAATACCACCATTTGCACAACCCATTTATAACATTTGCAACGTGTATTGGTTTCAAAGGATAAGAAACTTACTGTACTTGGTTAGGATGGATTTTGCCCACTATTTCTAAATAGATAAGTCATTTCCTTCACTAACTAAAACCTATTCCCTAGGAAGAGGTATCATTTCTGATTGTCTTCTTTGTGCTTAGAAATTCTTTTATGTAAAAATCAGAACAATTCTACGAGATAGGTATCATTAATCCTCTTTATAGATGAAGCTGATAGCTAGAAAGTAAAATAATATACCCAAAGGTCACACAGCTAAGGGCTGGCCCCAAAATTTGAAACCTGTACTTTTCCCCTAGGCACCAAGACACACACTGTTATGCACTAAGACACATACTTGTGCATGCACATGCACACGCATACACACAATTTAAACAATGATATATTTTCTTCTCTCTCTGCTTAGGTTGAAGAAATTTCAGCGAGCCTAGGGAAAGCTGGAAAAGCCATCTGTAGCTTTGCCTTCTGAAGAGGAAAGGGCAACATCAGAATTCTGTATTAGAAAAAACTAGAAGAGATACTGAGAAAAATGTATTCATCTGAACCACTTTTGACCTCTCCAGAACAAAATTTTGAGCTACTGCAGAGTAAAACTGGGAGTTACTATGGAGATCTGATTCAGAACTCTGAAAAAAAAACCAACCCACTAGGTAAAAAGTTAAAACAAGCAATTACACCCGAGTTAAGAGTTAACCCAGCAAAAATCAGTTCCAATTAGGTTTAAGACACTGGCCCCAAAACAGACTTCTTTTAGAAATGTGCAATCTACTTAGTACTTTGGTTTGAAAAGAAGCTATATATCCTGGAGATATGCAAAATACTTTTTGCTCCATGGCTTGTATGTTCAAGCAGTATCAGTCTGGATAAGATGTTAACCTGTTATTCTAACACAAAACCAAGTTGTTTAAGACCTTATAATAATTTCTGTAAACATGAAGAAATCAGAGAGTGGCAAATGCAGATGTTAAGGATTTGCTGTAATGTAGGTCTAAGGGAAGAATCTAATTTTTGAACTATAGCCAAAATAGTTAGAAATATCCTATGCAGTTGTAGGTAATTTTTTAAATCACATTTTCTGTACCAGAAAGTTAACTACAAAAAGACTACAGAAAAACAGATATACTATATTAGATGTGACTGCATATCTACTGAAGGTACATAGATAAAAATGCAAATATTGAAAGAAGCTCTGTCGCTAGAGGTAACGATATAAAACACAAAACAAAATACATAAATATAATATAGTTCTAGATGCCATGGTTATTTTATGAACCATTTTCTATCTTCTTCAACAAATAATAGAAAAATATAAAATTAATTGCGTAAAAGGTAAAATGTGATTTTGGAGGAAACTGAGGCAAAAGAAATAACATGTTGGGTAACAGCTGGTTATCAGCAAAGTTACTCATAGCTGTGTGACCTTGGGAAAAAAAATGAGTAACCTCCTAATTTTTGTTTGAAGAGTCAGGAAAGGAAATAATCATTTGCTATACCAACCATTGTTTACTGTGAAGACCATATGAAATAATATCCTCAAAAGTGTTTAGAAATCTATCATTACATTATGTAAACACCCAAACTTTCACATACCTAGTTATCTAGGTCTCCTTATGCTTCTATTTTAGCTCTGGTTTCCTTCCCCCTTTTGGCTTACATTATTTTCAATGACATTCCCGATTCTTGAATGTGACTGCTCTTTTGTGTCTTTCCAGTATTTGTTTTCCTGTTTTTATCTCTCTACTTCTTCTCCTTGTGATTCCACATATTCACTTATCTATCTTGCCCCCTACCTCTCCACTCCTATACAGACAGTCAAATGTATTGAGGCATCTATCACATGAAAGATGCTGAAACCTACACCCACCTGCTGTACCTGACAGCCTGGTCTCTGAAGTATGCTCCTCCCTAATAACTTGGGCAGGTTTCTGGAAACACTTACTGGACCACCATATCTAGGTTTTACTTCCTTGTATGCTCTTGTTTCTCATGAACTGATCATTATGGAGGTATGACATCTCGTTCACCATATTCTTGGTATTCATAATTTTCTATGTAATACTTCTAATATATTATGCTTCAAAAATGTAAAGAACAGTTGTTTATTGATGGACTTTGCATCACAGAGAAAGAGCATAATACAATATATGTGCCTTATAAAAGCTTAGAGAAAGCAAGGGATTAACAATAATAAATAACTGAATTCTTTTTTAATTCTACTCGAAACCTGGCAAGTTTCTTAAATCTAATTAATGAAAAGTATAATGGGAAGTTTTAGTTAAAAAGTTGCTCTAAACCGCTATGAGTAATTATTCTAAGTATCTGACTGATCTAGCTAATAGAAAAGTGTATGGGAATCCAGATACTCTGACAATTTTCAGTTTCAGCTAAACTCACTAAAAAAACCTTAGGTACTTTGAATACTCTTGTCATTCTTGTTCACATCTGTAAAAGAGGGTTATAATCTACTTTACTACCCAGAAAGAATATAACATAACCAAAGTAATGACATTACTACAAAAAAACCACAAGTTTTAAAGCTGGAAGATACCCTAAAAATCATTCAATTCAATCCTGTCTTTAAAAATTAAAAAAAAAAAAAAAAAACAGCCTCCAGGTATAAAGAAACTTCTGAAAGCTTCACTATATGATAATGGTAGCTTGAGTACTGACCTCTCAATTTTGTTCATACCGAAGTTATCAGGGAGAGGCAATAAACAGAAACCAGGTTGGCAAGCAGCATCCCAGGCATACCCTTCAATGCCTCCCAATAATAGATGCCTGCCTCAGCGCATCTATGCGTATGTGGAAGAGGTGAGGGAGTAGGTGGTGGATGACTGAGTGGACATGTGAGATCAAGGCAAGAAGTTTGTTGACTCTTTTGACTATCAAGGACTATAACAAATAAAAAGCACAGCACTGGCAATGATGCTTCCAGATACATATCATGCACCATTAAGGAATAAAAGGCCTCAAAGTGTAAGGGAAATTATCCCAATGACCACTTGTCTAAGAGAGAAGACCTTGGAAAGACCCAGCTTGTGACCCTGGAAAATTTCTGAGACTTAGTTTTTCATCTGTTAAAGGAGAATAATGCCCTACTATCCTCCATGGAGCTGCTAAGTATCAAATCACACCACTTAGGTAAAAACAATCTGTTGACTATAATGGTAACAAAATATGTATTTTAGTCACATACTGCTTCTAAATCCTGATAACTATGTTCATAGATGCAGTGGAGCATTACCTAGAAAGACATGAGCTTTAGAGACAGGAATACCAAAGTATAAATCCTGCTCCGTCGACTATTAGTTGCGCGACCATTTTTCCTCATTTGATATGAGTTCTAAATAGACACATTAAAAAATGGAGCAATTATTACTGTTCAATGGAGAATCAAAGATTGTTTATTAAGAA